AAAGTCTAACTCCACTAGTCAATTTGTTAGGTATTATATATTCTGCATTTTTAATTGTTTGAATAATGATATACTAAGTTACCTTCTTTGCTGAGAGTGCTTCAGTGGTTATATGGACCAACTGGTCTATGTATTCTCGTGGAATACATGATCTCAGCTTCTCATACTCGTGGAGACGCAGAGTCGATACCTGCGGATAACATCACAGAACATTTGTAATGAGTGAGCATTTATATATTATACGAGGACAAAAAACTTGGGCACGTGAAGGTGACTCATGGACTCTTGCTTTCACCTAGTAACATAAAGAATGTATCTTTAGCAAAAAAAAAAAACATAAAAAATGTAAACCCATCATTATGTTTGCTATTGGACATGACATAAGTAAAATATGGAAAGAGGAGAAAACCACAACCTGAATGCCTCTCTGGCAGAGTGCAGAGGCGATGGTGTAGACAATCTTTGTGAGGTTGCCTGTAATCACAACGTTTGTAGTTGCTTTGGGTAAAGTATTGACCACAATGGCTGCTGCTAATCTACTGCCGTCCACCACTCTCACCTTTAGTTCTGGATGCTTGTGGACATACGCCTCTCCATTCCTGTTCAGCTCCTCTCCCTGTTTCAACTCGCCACAAATTTAACACTATGTATGTATATGACATCTGCACAATGTTTAAAACAAAAATAGAGTCAGAGCTTGTTTTTTTTACTTGGTTCATTAGACCCAGGCTAAGCACCTTCACTCCTTTTTTATCTGCCTCCAGTATGGCTTTCTCAATCATGTTGTTGATCGCGTCTTTCCTCCATTTTAACAAGTACTGCATCACACATCATCTCAGTGCATCAACAAATTAGCCTATATAGTATAATGTACAAGGAATCAAGATGAAGATGGTAATGAGGACCTGCAGATTATATCTGGGTATGATCCAAGACTGCAAGTTGAGCTTTTCGAAGGAGTTTCTCTCAGCGACAAAGAGGCGGGCGTAGAAGAGAGTGAAGAGCATGGAGAGAGAGGTGAAAGGCCACAAAAGGCGCATGAACCATCGATAAGAGAAGGGGTAGGAGGCAAATGAAGCTAAGCCAATGCGCAAATGGTATATGGACTCTGGCGTCGTCAGGTGAGTTAAGTGCACCACGTCCACTCTATCTTCTCCTCTTTCTAGAGACTTCTCGTACAATGTATCCGAGGTTTCATCCATTGTGCCATAGATGTAGTCATACAAGGGCATGAAAAGAGAGTAGTTGGTCCGGAAATGCGTGTGGTGCAGCGAGTGGAATCTGCAATTTTCATAATCAGTTTATCATCCTCCAAAATAAAGATATTAAGAGTGTTTTTATTTGGCTTCTTTAGAGTAATTGTCAAAACCCTTAATTAGGATGTAAAAAACGTTTTCTCATTTTGTATGATCACCACTCGAGACTTGCATAACAAAACAAAAAGGAACGCTCAAATCAGTTCAAATCAATACAGAAAACAAAAAGCGCAAATACTTGAAATGCAAGTATGTGTTAAGATGTGTTAATAACATAATTAGACTTTAGAGGGGCCACCTGCTACATATAACCTACTAAAAATTTAATTTATAATTCAGTTGTTTGGGGTTTTTTTGGTATGGTTGGACATAACAAAATTAATCTTTTACAGAGTAATGTTTTGTTTTGAGGAATGACTGCAATATATGGTTTAAGAATACGTTTAAAAGCCATGAAACTAACACGTAAATAAGAGGGTATGTTTGGTTTGTTGTGAGAATTGGACTATGTGCCGATAAGTTTAGAGATGTAGATTAAATAGATTTTTGTGGTCCATCCATGGATTCGGTAGTTGACGTGACGAACAAATAAAGGGTACTTATCACGTCACCTTCTTTATACAGGAAAGAGAATGTTTATTCAAGTTGCTTTTTATTTGCCATTTTTTGTTTACTATACTTTAAATTTTCTTAGATTTTGTGATGCGCATAATCGAAACTTAATTGACGAAAAAATACGAATTGAACAATGACTCAGACTGTTTGCTTTGTCATGTCTCTAATTATGAATTTATCAATTGCTACATATCTCAAAGAAAGAATCCAAAACTAATTAATACAGTATGAACGAAAAAACAGATGGTTGTATTAAATGTCAATTATAATGGTTTCCAGTTAATGCAAGCACCTCCAACGCAAGGTTCTTTAGGAATATCTAAGTATTAAAAAAATGAAAAAAAAAATAATAATAAGGGACTTACGAGGGAGTGTAACAGAGGAACTTGAGGGGAGGAAAGAGGTGGAAGAGGCGCTTAGGGACGAGCTCAAAGTTGCAGTGTCCCATGTTGTTCATGAAGTCTATGTAGATTATGTATCCGGCAAACGAGGCTATTGAAGCCGTTTTCGTTAGCAACGTCGTAAGCAATGGTATCGCAAAGAGCATGAAGTATGCTATGTGCTCCGCAAACGGATGTATCACCGCTGCAT